TTCCCATCCCCGTTCCCGTTCCCATCCCCGCTCCCATCCCCGTTCCCGTTCCCTTTCCCATCCCCGTTCCCATCCCCGTTCCCATCCCCGTTCCCGTTCCCATCCCCGCTCCCATCCCCGTTCCCGTTCCCTTTCCCATCCCCGTTCCCATCCCCGCTCCCGCCGCCCGGGGTCGCTGTGGCCCGGCCCGGTGCCGCGCGGCGCTCTGGGCCCGGCGGGCGGAAGTGACGACGCGGCGGCCCCGGTGACATTCCCGGCGCTTCCCGGCGCTTCCCGGAGCTCCCGCCGCTCCGCCCGCCCATGCCCCGGCCGCTGCCCCCGCCGGGGAGCCCTGGGGGGGCCCTGCCTCCAGCAGGTGAGTGCGGCCGGGGGGCAGCCCGAGCCCACGGGGGTGGGGTGGGATGGGATGGGCGGTACCGGCCGCGCTCTGCTGGGAGCGGCGGGAGCGGCCCCGCATCCCCCGGGATGAGGGTGGGTGCCCGGGGGTGCTGGGTGCTGTGGGGATACGCCTGCTCCTAGTCTTGCTCCTTGTCCTAGCACTAGCCCTAGTCCTGGTCCTGGTGCTTCTCCTGGTCCAGCCCCGCCACTGCTCTGCCCTGACCCAGCGGATGGAGATTCCCGGTGGAAAGCTCCCGGACCGCTTGGTCTTTCTCCGGGACTTTTGTAAAACAAAGTGCCTTTTTTTGCTTTTATCTCTTTTTTTTTTTTTTTCCCCTCCCGTAACGCTTTTTCAAGTCGTGTGAGCTGTTGGAGGAAAGAAACCCCCTTGGAATACCGACGGGTGTAACTGCCCCGGGGTTGCTCTTCTCAGGGTTTTTTTGTTGTCGTTTCTTTTGTTTTTTTTGGTGGTGTATTCCATGGGTGGGAATCTCGATTTTTATGTGGAAAGAAAGTTCAAGTTGCTCGCTGTGTATCTGTCCCGGGTTCCCCTTGAGCTCCTGACGTCTAATGGGTTGCAGATGTGGCTCTGAGCCACGCAGCCATCCGAGGGGAATATAAAACTTAACTGTGCTACTTGTTCCTTTTTAAAAAGGGAAAAAAGGCAGCCTGGGCAGACTTGTAATATTTTAACTATTTCCTCAGTTCCAGTACTTTAACTTTCTTTGCCTTGAGGTTATTGGACAACCAGTTAAAAGGCTGCTTTTTAAAGACTTGGGGCTTTTTTTTTTTTAATGTTTACCTTGCTCCCACCTTTGTTAAGTAGCATCTAGTTCTACTTATGTCTTAGTTTGTTAACAGTGGGACAGGGCCACCTGCCTGAAAGTTTGTAGGTACCTTGTTGAAACCATAACTGCAGTAACTTAGTTAAACAAGGTCTTGGTTACGACTAGTTGTGCACTTTAAACCAGCACAAAGTACCAAACAACACTTCAAAGGCTGAAAAAAACTTGTGTGTCAGGATGCTGTGGCATAAGTCAGTCCTGTTTGATTTTTTTTTCTTTTTTTGCATTGTCAAGTAATTCTGGCTTTTAAAAATGAGTAAGTAAATCTTTGAACCCATGAGTATCTTTTTAAAAATGTAAAATTTCTTTTAATTCCCCCTCCCGCAGATTCTGTTTTGTTTTTACATCTTCTCTGGTACTTGTCAAGCATCACACCAAGTAATAGCTTCCCTTATGGGCAAGGACTACCCTATTTCCTCTTTCCAAGCTAAAAGGTTAAGTACAAACAGTAATAGCTCTCCCCTTGGAATGGCAAACAAATGCTAAATTTAAAATCTCTCTCTTAAAGTGTCTTAATGTTGCATAAGCCTTTTAAAAACATGTTTGACCTTGAGATGAAAACCGAGTATGGTGCTCTTCTGAGGTCTCCATGGTGTGGTTCTCCTGCCCTAGTTAACACCTGTAATTGCTGTTCCTGTGGTACAAGAGCTGGAAGTCAGGCAGTCACAACAGCACAGCTTTCCCTGGTGCCCTGGAGGAGGGAAACGTGGCCTTTGAGGAGGGAAAAGGTTCTTAACAAGCTCTGAGGAGAACAGTAAGTTGCTTGTCATGTGTTTGCTAAACCCAGCCATCCCCTTCTATATATGTGTATGATACCAAAGCAGTGAGGTGAAGTGTGGAGAACTCGTCTCCACAGCAGCAGTAATTTTTAAGTATTCTGAGTATTTCTCACCTCTGCTGATTTAGAGCAGCCTGGTGCTGGCACAAGAAGCTCTAAGGGGGGGGTGGTGGTTATGTGGCTACTGAAAGCTAATAAAACACAGCTTTTTGTAGTTCTGGCGTCCCAGTGACACTGGTGTTTTGTCTGGGGAACCAGGGGGAGGGACCCTGTGTGTGATGGAAGGCAGTACGTGAGCCTGAGCAGCTGCTTTTCGCCCTCCAGTGTGGGGATAGCAGTTCTGACTCATTTTTGAACACTTGAATTTGTAATTACACTCTGTCGACTGTTTCTGTTTGCTCTTCAGCCTAATTGCTGGTCAGCATCGTGAAGAGGTGGGATGAGAAATTCCTGAGAAATCAGGAAGAGGAGATGGCTGTGGCCTTACACACTCAGATGTGTGATGTGTGTGGCAGGGCAGCCTGGGCATCTCAGTGCACAGAGCCTTGGTGGGAATTACAGTGCACAAACCAGTCAGGATGCTTTAAACTGGGTCCTGCAGAGGGAGGGGGAAAGGGAAGGAACCTGAAGCCAACCACAAGGCAGTTGAGAACGGCCTCAACACACAACAGCAAGCCCTGCTCTGACTGATAAAGGAGAAGTAGGAAGGATGTGTGGCTGCCTTGGACAAACGGGCACTGTGGAGGAGGTGGGGATTGATGAGGTAAGGTGAGATTGAACCAACAAAAAGTAGATATGGAGTGTCATGAGGGGCTTTGAACACTAAACATCAAGGAGATAAGTCGGTGTAAGTTGATCAGAGCAACAAGAAATAATTGCCTTGGCTGTCCTGGCACTCCCCCCCCATCTCCTTGATGTGCAGGCTTCTTTGCGTGGATTCTGTTCACTTTTCTTCACTTTCTCTTGTATGTTATCACATCAACTGCCTCCTCCACCAAGGATGTATGTGCCACCTGTGACCCACCTGAATATCAACATCTCACTTAAACATCTGTTAATGAGATGGGAGTCTCTACGTACCACACAGTGAAAGTGGCTGCAGAACAAGTAATCCACCTGGCTGGTTACCCTCTGACCAAAATGCCACCATTATCTAGTGATATTAGAAGCTTTGCAGACATTTCCAAATGAGTAGTTAGTTTCAAGCAACCTTCGTGTTATTGTCTATAACATTTCAGAGTTAGTGTACTCATGGTACGTTTTGACAGAATTGGATTTGTGGTCAGTCTCAGCTTCTGCAGTTGACTCACTCAGAAGACTCTAAACATTGGCAGAAGCTGAGCAGCAGAGTTAATAACACATTTATTGGACCACAGTGAAAGATTTAAACACAATAGCTAGCAGTGTGTAACTTGCACCTCAGAACAAGCACTCTGGGAAAGAAGTAATAAAACTTGAAATTCATCTTTGCTCACTTGAACCTTATTAGCAGCAATTGGGAACTGAAAATGAAACAGCACTGGGAGAGGGCATAGTGCTGGGAAAGAGCTCGGGGTTAAAGTTGTGTGATACAGTTGTGTTGATGCTCTGAGATGACCTGAGGTTTATGTGAAAAGGAAACAACTTTTGGTTTTCCAGAACCAAGATAAGTGGTCAGCTCTTAAGTGGGAGTTCAGCCTTTAACTTTAGCACAGAACTGTTACCAATCTGTGGCAGCAGATATTATTGCAGGGAACTTGAACACAAATCAGCACAAAAATCATGCTTTCTTTCACATTTCTGTTCCACGTTTTTAATGCATACTGCAGTTCTGAGTCTGAATACAGCGTGTACAAATGTGGAATTCTAAGCAAAGAGAGAACTAGATGAAAGGGATTTTAAATGGAAATGTGCACATAGTGTAAAAGCCTCTGCAGTTGCTTTCTCTGGCAGAGTTCGTCTTTGAGCTAAGCTGAGGGACTGATACCTTGTCACTTGCATGGTGTTACTGCTTAAGGGTTAGAATTTAAATGTATAGTTGTCTGTTCCCACTCGTTAGTGTTGCCTCTTCCCATGTCTGACCAGCCTGAATGGAGCCTGTAGTGGTTTCTCCGTGGCCGTGAGTGGCTCCCTGCAGCTGGGGCACACGTGGATTAGTGATTCAGGACTGGAAATGAGATGTGGCTCCCTCGCGCAGGTGTTGCTGTTACACTGTGTCAGATGCATTACTGACTGCTCAGGGAGGTCAAGTAACCTGCCCGCGGTCATGAGGTGAGTCAGCTTCAGATTCAGAATGATCCATGCTAATGTCCCTTTTTATTTAAGAAGGTATTTAGGGGTTTTGTATCAGTTTGACCACATTGTGTGTCCAGTGCTCAGAAATTGATTGAAGTAGCAGAATAGAGTACAGGCTTCGGTATTGTCACACCTTGTGATGTTTGCTCTCAAAGACTGCTTAAAAGCTGTTAGTACTCAATCTGACAACTCTTAAATTATAAACAGAACACGTGGTCACTTTTCAATTAAACTCCGGTGTTTAGAGACTTTAAAGCCAGCATTTTTCTTTCAATATATGTGAATCATGGATTTGACATTATAGTGAGGCTTCTGTAGTGTCCTTCACAATGCTCTTCTGCTTCAATGCTTCAAAATTTCTTGGAAGTGAGCAGGAGGAGCCAGACCTCGATTGGATAAGTGTTCCTCTTGCTACCTTTCTGCTCTGATGTCTTGTTCCATGGTGCTTGATCATTAGCATTTCACGACTTATTTTGAGAAGGCAGATCCAACATGGGTAGAGGCCAAGTGACTCACAGTAGCAGAGCTGGGAATAAGAAAGAGCCAGACTTTATAATGCCAGTTGTCTGCATGATGAAGCAATTACCATTTCAGTAATTTGTTTTTCATTGGGAATATTGCATTTCCATGGTACCGATGTGAGGTTGGTGCTGCGTGCTCCAACAGTGCTGTCAAACTTTCTGAAGCAAAAAGGAATGCTGTGATAGCCAGGTAAGGTTGAGACAGTGTTGTTCTCTTGTACTGAGGCTTTTACGTCAGCTGGTAATTCTCCTGACTACTCAGCTAGCTCTCCTGGTTTGTGCTCTCTTGGAATTCCATCTCTTGCCAGAAAGCCAGTTCTAAATAATCTGGCAATTTAGGGAAAAATGTTCTTAAGGAGTAGCTCAGGGAAGCTGTCTACTAATTTGTAATTTGTGGTTGGAAATACAATGGTTTGGAGGCTGTCTCCTAATTAAGTAAGTTGGATGAAGTGCTGGTAGTCTGGAGCCTCACTGTGTTTGATTAGAGGTCTTTTGGAAATTAAGTTGTCATTGTGGGAAGGAGTGGGCTCGTGGGTAGCAGTGTCCATGAGCCCATTGCTGATAAATACAACTTGAGTTGTCAGTGGCCGTGGTTCCTCCAGAGCTGGTAACACTTATTGATGAGCACTGTGCAGTCTCTGTGAGGAGTCATAAAAAACCCCCCGTATTTCTTTGGGCATTATTTTTTGGAAAGCCTTTAAGGCAAAAGTTCATTTTTCATGGTTCCACTTACTGTTATTAGTAAGTAGTTTTAAAGGCAATTTATGGGCTTTTGATCTGCTCACTGTAAGAAATTGTTGAATACCATAAAACTAAGCTAAGGAAATCCACTGAATATCTTGCCAGAGTTCACTTCATAAGCCCTCAATAATTAGCTATAGACCTCACCTCAATCTCCCTTGTTTGTTTTACAGGAGGAAAATGTTTTTTCTACTTTTTAACATCTATAGTGGATTTCACTGTTTGTCTGTATGAAACTTGCCACCCTTCAGCAACAATAAGACTGTGTTGAGTGAATGGAATGGGGTTGAATTAATACTCCAGACTTGATGCTCTTTTTTCCATCTATCTCTCCCTTTTGCTGGGAAAGTTGTTTATATAGTTTATGTCTGCTGTTGCTAAGGATTAGTTTTATGCTGAAGAAAGTTCTGCCAGCTGAGCCACTTTCTCCTAAACAGGAATAATAATGCAACAAATAATTTTAGGGTAAATGGTGTTTTTATTTTTGGATAAGTAAGTCGTGTGGGTTTTTTCTGGGAGGGGGAGAGGGTGGTTTTGTGGTGTTCTTTTTTTTTCTCCTGTCAGTACTTGCAGGCCACTGCTGAAACTACCTTTTAATTTTCTTTTTCTCTTTTTGTAGCTGGTAACTTGGTATCCTGTTACATACTGTTTTTTAATTTCTGTAGTCAAATATATGCAAAGTTCTTCTGTGTGTTGTGGGAAAGAAATGTCTGTTTCCTGGTCTGTCTGTTGTCCTCCTGAAGTTGAGCTCAGATTTCTCTTCCTTTGCCAACTGGGAGCAAATACTGTAGGAAAAGTGTCTGATAGTAAAACCCATGTTAGAGGCATTATTCAAAACACACATGTAACTGGCTTTTTGGCCTGGTCAGTTCTGTTGTTTTGAAATACCCAAAGCAGCTTCTGTTCATCTGTGGAACCAACCTGTGTTTGCTTCACACAGACCTGTGTCACGAGTGCTTCCTTCGTTTAGGAGCACTTTGGGCACATAAAGGCTGTGCTATCAATTGCTAGCAATCTAGGGGGTGCTGAAATCAATCAGCACCTCTTGTTACTGGCCAAAAACAGGTCAAGGGTTTGGTGTCAAGAACAGCCCAACAGCAGTGGGTATCTTCCTGTAGAATTTCATCATTTGAATGCCATGTGACTTTGCCTCTAGTGTATTGATGCGATTTATTTTTCAGTGGTATACCTGCTGAGAATTCATGTTGCAATATTTAGATTATACTGCTAGCTTAGTAATTAAAGGAATTAATAATACTAGTGGTTTTGTGGATGAGAAAATGACTTGTGATCAGGGTTTGTTGGGCTTGCAGCTCTTGTCTGTAGAATTTAGGCACATCACCTGATCTTCAGCTGGCCAGACCATAAAATGGGTATGTTACTGCTCTGTGCCAGGAAGATACTGCTCTAAGGCAAAGATATTCATTGGTGTTGAATTAA